CACCCCACCCGCCCTATCTCCTTTCCTTCCCCTGCCCTTCTCCCCGGTCTGCACCCCCGTTCTGAGAACCCCCACAGGGTTCCGAGGCCCTTGCCATCGCCGTGCTCTTGCCCCTCCTCGCTCCCCGTCCTCTCGAGGACGGAGGAACGGTCGGCCTGCCCGGCGATCGAGTGCCCGGGACCCTGCGTGCGCGCGAGTCCGAATGGCACCGTGGTGCGTCCCCCCCTTCCCCCTCTCCTCTCCTCCCACCGAGCCCCCCCCCCCCTTCCCCATGCCCGTGTGTGCGTGTGTACACGCCGCATACATGCCCGTGCGCATGGGCATGCACGCGTGTCTTCCCCCGCTCCCCCCACCCCCACCCCCGGCCGGGGGAGGGCTGAGACGACCCGTCGGAGGGACCGAGAGCGAGAGCGGGGACTGGGCGGCCCGCGAGATCCCCGCGCATGGGCTCCCTTCCGCCCTCCTTGTGCCGCACTTCCCGCCAGGGGGCGTGTCCCCATGCCCCGGCGGGCAGGTCGCCGTGCAGAGGGGGGGCATGGGCACCCGCGCGCGGCCGCGTCGCCCCACCCCCAAATCGAAACGACATACAATACAGAAAATAGGAATACCCCCCATGCGCGCGACCGGCGAGAAGAGGCCGGCGGCAGGCAAGCAGGCCAGCCGTCCACGTGTGTGTGTGTGTGTGTGTGTGTGTGTGTGTGTGTGTGTGTGTGTGCGTGTGTGTGTGCGTGTGCGTCCGTCGTTTGTGCTGAGCCTGGGCCGCGATTTCGCAGACTCGGCCCGTGTTTGGAGGAGCGACGCCCACAGAGGGGAATGGGCCGGGCCGGTTAATCTGTGCTCGCCCTGCGGAGAGAACACGGGGCGGGAGAGTGGGAGGGGGCTTTCCGCCGTGCGGTCCGTTCGGGCCCTCTCGCCATCCGGCCTGTTGGACTTTTGGCGCGTCGTGGTACGTGCGAGGGCCCGATCGGGACACGGGCCGCGACACGGCCCCGGCCGCTGTGAGTCTCCAATCGCAGCACATGGGCGCTGGACCTGGGGAGGACCAGCCCCCGATCGACCCCAGAGCTCGGCAGGGCCGCCGGTGTCCGGCCACAGAACGGCCCGCGGCAAAGGAAGACCCTCCCGCCTCGGGACAGCCTCCAGCCCCCGGCCCCTAGACTCTACCGTGACAGCGTACCGGCCGCGGAGACGGGGGGCCGTAAAAAAAAAGAATAAAAAAACACCGCAGGCCGGCAGCCGGGGGATTCTTCCAGACACCGCGCAAGGGGGCGGGGGGACGGGCGCCGGCTCGCGCACACACAGGCGCCCCGCGCGCCCGCGGCCCAGCGAAATTAAACTGTCATATCCCGCCGCTGCGCCGGGCCGCTGCCGCCGCTCCTTCTGGAAGCATCACCCGTTGGGCGGACGCGCACACGCACGCGCGCACACGCACTATCCTCCCCC